TAACAGTGGAATTGAAGTTCTGTTTTTTTTTTTTTAAAAAAAAAGACAAAACAGAATGCAAGAACAGAGATGTGTACTCACAAGTATCATTGGAGGACCTCCAGAAGGAGGAGGCATAGCCAGTATTTTAAACCCAGGAGTGTCAGAAGATATAGGCTTTCTCAGTTTAACTCTATAATTTTGCAAATCCTTCATTGTCAGTATTCCTCCAACCTTGTGAATATCTCTAACCAATTTGGATCCGATGGATCCATTATAAAAGGCTCTGGGACCGAAATTCGAAATGTCTCTGAGTGTCTGTGCCAGTTTCCAGTTACGGCATGTCTCACCTGTCTTCAAGAGACTCCCGTTTGATGTAAATACATGACGAAGTCCCTCATCTGCCAAGATTCCTGATTCTGTTCTATGCATCTGCATGTTGAGGTATGGTGAAATCTTAAATCCCAAACGAGCGAGACGCTCAGCTGGACTTACAAGCCTTTTCCATGGAAGCCTTCCATATTGTTTCCAAGCTTTATGAAGGCCTGCAAGTTCCCCTGGAATTGCTATGGAGAGAGCCCCTTTACCTTTCAGCGTAGTGTTAGAAGAATACATGTTCTGAAAGTTTAAAAAAAAAAAAATCATAAGCACCAGGCAATGCAATTCATTCAAGTCTAATGGAAGAGAGAGCTTTTGGTAAAGCAGGTTTAAACCTCAGAAGCTAGCAAGGGAGCAGTTTCTCTCATATCAAAGGCTTGTGCCTCCCCGCTGGCTAGCCTGATAAGCATGAAGGCTCCTCCCCCTATGCCACTTGATGCTGGACTCACAACCCCTAAGCAAAGAGCAGCAGCCACTGATGCATCAACGGCATGACCGCCTTCACGAAGAACATGCATCCCAATTCTGGAGCATCGACCATCATCCGTGGCAACAGCAGCATGGCGTCCTGAAATTACCTCTCGCCTTTTTTTGGTTGAACTGTTGGTAGCATCAAGGCTTGAAGTAGGAGGCAACCAAAGAATTATGGTAACCAGCAGCAGCAGCAGCGGATCTGCAACCAAAGAATTAGCATCTACAGATTATGAATTCAAAAACCCATTTGCTGAAACAGATGAAAGAAAATTCCAGAGTTACTCACATGACATGGTTACCACCATGTACAAAGCTCAGCTTGAACACTTGCTT